TATATATATATGTATATATATATATATATGTGATGCACATGAATATATATTTTAAATTATATATATTATGGATCACTTAATTATTACACATACATTAAGTATTTTTGAAAGAAATAGACAATGATTAATTCAAATATGAATGTTGTAATGACGACTATACTTGCTGTTATAATGGTATGAGTGCAAATTTGCACAGAATAGACAATGATAATTTTAAATGCTTTCTTATACTATTATAACAGCCAGTATAGTTGTCACAACACTCACATTTGAATTAATCAGTGTCTATTTCTTTGCAAAATTGCATTATCCAACTTATAGAGAGCTTCACAGAACAACTCTCTAATCCAACCGGATCGCGTTTGAGCCATTTTCGATAAAGTATCGTCCGTTACCATGAATTGCGTATGACTAACTGCCTATTACTTGAAGAAGCGTTTACTGTTTCAAAAAACCATAGGAGATCAAATACTAGGGTACACGACTCCTATATCGAAGAAATGTAACAATTGATATCTTTAGTTAATATGTGTGTATTAAGTATATCATCTTATCTCTAACTGACAGATCATATAACTCTATAGTTTATTACGTATTTAATAAAATTCTAAAACATATTATTAAATTACGCACAGAGAAGAAAAAATATTTTGAGAATGTTTTTTTTAAATATAAATTTTGTAATTAGAAAATTATATATAGTGTTAAAATAACATAACTGGCTTACACGTAGAAATTTTATGTAGTTAAATAAAAAAAATATATATCGCGTTTCAAATTCAATAATAATTTTTATGATTTGAGAGGAAACAAATATCAGATAAAGATAACAATATCTTCAATTCAAGAATCAAAATTTCTTTGATTCTTGAATTGAAATTAAATCATTTGTGTTTAATTGTATCGTAGAGCAAGCTATTTATATTATTTAATTTTTATTATTTTTTTTATTTTTCCATAAAATTGACGTTGATGTCGTTAATATATAGGAGCTTCCCATGATGCAAGCAATCTACTGGGAGCTTCCAAGTCACGGAGTAATAAGGAGATCAAACTCGAGGTTTGAAAATGGGCTCGAAATACGGTGTCGGAAAACCCATGGAAAATCCGGCAGATGTGATTTTAGTGCCATCGCCCCTTGCGGGAAAAGTTACAAGTATCAACTGTACGTGGTCACAGGTCACACGTATGTGTATCTACTACATACATTATACCTATGATACGTGACAGTTAATACTTATAATTTTTTCTACTAAAATTTCTATACTAAAATCACATCTGCCAGATTTTCCATGGGTTTTCCTACACTGTGTTTCGAGTCCACTTTTTTCGTGATCGGCTGCTTGAGTTTGATCTCCTTATTATTTCGTATTCCAAGTCAATTCAAGCGTCACGCGAAAAAAGCCACGATCAGCCGTGATGGCGCTCTCGCGTTTCTGTTCGACCAGTCACTTGTAGGGCTGCGTTCGGAAATATCACTCGAGTGCTCTGTGTTTTATCCTTGTTGTTTACCCAATGTTAAATAAGGATAAGATGATACACAGGGGCACTCGGGTATTTCCGAACGCAGTCTTGTGTAAAGTGGTGTGTTTCAAAACACGAGGATGTGAACGTCGTCATCCGTCGTCCCGTGTTCGCGGATGTAACGGATGTAACAGGTAATGTTGAGTAAAATGAAACGGTATGTCCCATTCGACGCAACTTTTTAGCGGGTTGCTCATCCTTCTGTTGGCGATCGCGCTGTGCAGTGGCGCGGACACGTATGAGATCGATTGCAATAACCTGCGAATAGGACAGTACATTTGCCCCCATCCTGATTACGATTTCATAGATCCAAAGACGCAGCAACCCCGCGGCTGCACCAAGGAAAACAAGGCCAAAGGTAGGAGCTTGACTTTGAGCGCCGAAATTGGGATTTTGGTGTATCCCTAACCTCAATCTCACACATTCTGACGTTTCTGACGTTCTGTTGCTGTATTTTCTCATTATTTTTAACGTTGTAAAATAAGACAGACGCATATCTTCTTGCATTCTAAGAGAGTTAAGCGTAGACAGTTGGAGTAATTATCTTCATATTTCTTTATTGTTTATTATACCTTGCGCTGAACGTTGTTTTTTATATTATTATTAAAAATATCGTTCATTTTACTGTATTTAGAAGTAACAGTTTGATAACTATCTAGAATTATCTGGAATTATAATTTTTACAAAATTAAACTTGGATTTATATATTTTTAGTGCTATGTTTAGCTGCCGATGGCCTTATTTGTGCAGAAACAAAGAACAACACTTTCAAGAAGGATATACCTTGCAAATGGACGTAAGTAATTGGACTTATGCCTCTTTTTACTAATGTTTATTAACTATAATCTTGACTCGATTTGCTTTTCATCTTTTTGTAATTTTAATAATTAGAAAAAAATTAAGAATAAGTTAAACCAATATTAGAGTTAATTTACATTGAAAGAAGTAAACTGAATATGTAATAAATCTTCTAGAGTTGATAGTGTATCTGTTAAACTTATTCAGTTGTAAATTTTTTGATTCAAAATGTCAAGCATTTGTCAATTTTCTTTATGTTACATCTACAAATTTGAATTATTCTTACTAAAATATTACTTAATATTCATTCTTTTTTACATATATGTTATTTTGCTTTCTTGAAATTAATTAGTGCCTTTTAATTAACTTAAATGTATCTCTTAAAGAATCAGTTAACCATATTACAGATTCTGACATCAGCTTTAGATGATTAATTTTTAACTGGAACACATATAGTCCTAGATAATCCTAGAAATAATTTAAAAAGTAGTATTTTTTGAAACAATTTTTCAATACGTATTTACATTTAGATTTAGAAACAATAAATGCTATCATAAATATTTTATTGATATTTTTTTCAAATAGTCTTATAGCATAGATTAAGAATATGTAATTGAATTGGAAAAATTCTTAAAAAAATGATAAAAAACTGGTAGGTTCCAGAGATCTACACCTTCCTTTAGTGTAAAATGTGTTTTTGTTACATTAAGTTACTTCAAGTTTATATATACAGTTTGTGAACTTTTATGTTTGAATTGTTGTTTTCAGAAATGGATATTCATTTGAAACATCATTACTGTTATCGATATTTCTTGGCATGTTCGGCATAGACCGATTTTACCTTGGATATCCTGCTCTAGGCTTGCTCAAGCTGAGTACGTTGGGATTTCTTTTTCTTGGTCAGTTCGCCGATGTGATTCTGATAGCTACGCAAATCGTAGGACCGGCGGACGGTTCACACTATGTGATGCCATATTATGGTGCTGGAATTAACATCATAAGGAGCAACAATTTTACATACAGAGTACCACAATATGATTGCTGAGAGAAAATAGCATATTTAAAGCAAGTTGTAAATGACGATTTTTCTATACATGCATACGCGCACGCGCGCGCGTGTATGTGTGTGTGTATAATTATATACTGACCTATGTTTTCGTCGCAAGCAACAGTTGCGTTCGGAAATGTTGCTCGAATGCCTCCGATGCCTCAGATTCATTATCTGTCCTTGTTTAACATTTAATATTTAAAAAAATATATATATATATAAAATTTAAACAGTTTCCGAACGCAGCCAACGATGTATAAATCCTAGAATAAAATTCTATTTCATGTATCTATATATATATATATATTTCAATATAATTTATTCTCTATACTCTATTCTATAAGATGAACTGTGAACGTTAACTTGTAGATATTTATTTTTTAACAAAAAATATTGTATATATAAAGATTTACTACTGATTTACTTATTGCTAGCTTAATTAATAAACTGTTGTTTTTATTTCTAAAGTTCTCTGTTATTGTGCTCTTCAGTTGATCAGGATTTCTCAGAATGCAAATATCGTGATAATTATACTCCCGAATTCCGCAATTATGACTCAATCGGCCTTGAACGATTTATCGCGAAACTGTAAGCTATACTTCTTAATGTCGATGCACGGACGTAATTCGATTCGTGCGATCTCGCATGTATTTCCAATCTCTCGTTCCTCTGATATAAATGCGAAAATAAGAAGCGTTTATTATTATTACTTCCGTTAATTTCGTGTACAGAGAGCTCGGTAACGGCGTTTTGCGCACGAACATCTTGCGTTCTCGGAAATTCTAAGATGCCGACCGAAGATGCATCACGTTGCAATTTCGCATTATGTACATGTTAATCGGCACGTTTACGATATGAAATGTATAAATCCACATACTTCTCTTCGTGACGAGTTCTTTAAAGTTATCGTTTCATAAGAGTTGAAAAGACAGACGTGATTTATTAAATCGGGAAGATACATTATTGAGAGACGAGCTGCTTCTCGCATCATGACTTCAACTAAGAAGATTCTACTTTTACTTTTACCACTCGGAATTGTACTATTAATTGCGACAATATATCATTCAAACAATTCTGAGGTAAGCAATTTGATCATTACTTGATGCTATCTATAGACCTAATTTTTAAAAATAGGCTAAAGCTAGATTACATTATGAGGAAAACTGGCATATCTAAGAATCAATGAAATATCGAAGTATATTTTAAGTGAACTAATAAATTACAAATATACCCAAATAGTAAAATGTCTGCAATCTTCTAGCAGATTGTCAGCAGGTTCATTTCAAGCAGAAAATGACAGAGTCTGCCATCAATTGCGTTCGCATTGGGCTTGTGTTAACATCGCCTGTTGATATAATGTGAAGGCAAATTGTTGGCAGAAACTGAGCAGATCCTGCCGACATTATTTCACACTTGTAGATTCTGTTACGTTTTTTTCTAGTAGTCTGTTAACAGTATTATGTACATCTAATTCTGTTATTTTGTTGACATAGTGTGTAGCAGATATTTAAAAAATCTGCTTTCGATAGATTTGGCTATCTGGGTATATATGTAGTATTTTTTTTTCATATATATATATATATATTTTTTTTTTTAATAAAATGTGAAATTTATCAAATATTATACCTGCTCTTTATTATTAATTTTTATATCAAGGAAATAACTTTTGCAGTACGCTGACAATACAGCTGTGGAACCGCAGATAAGCAGGCGTCGACGAGCAATTAAGCCCGCCACTATACATTATTGCAAGTTCAATCAATACTATGATCAGGAGGAAGGCCGTTGTTTAGGTGTGCCAGGAGGCGGCAAAGTACTTCACATTGAAAACGGACAATCATGTGGCATCAACGTCTTAAAGCCGCATTGTAAAAGCTCTCTATATTATCACATTTGTAAACGTGATAAGTCGATCCTGGCGCAATGTGCAAACAGACAGATCTTCGACAATCGTTTGCAGCGATGCATTTACTACGATTCAAGTAAATTAACTCCCAGTATTATTCCACCAGACGACTACACATATTACGATCACGTTAGAATGCCACGTTGCACGAGATATGGTCGATTTCCCGTACCTGGTCATTGTTCCATGTTTTACACATGCGATACAAACGGACATCGACTTCATCAGAGTGTCTTCAAGTGCCCACAAAATACCGGATATCAAGTGGACAAAGGAGTTTGCAATATTGTGGCAGATTGTGTGAACGACAATTCGGTGGATACTACAGTTTGTGTTCCAGATGCCCCGGGCGAAAATGTGGAATCTTCACATCTCGATGAAGCTGTAGACGAAAAAGAAATTTCAGAAATACTTGAAGGAAGTAAAGCCAGCACAGACGATCCTATTGTAGAAAAAGAGGAAAATGTAAATTTCAAGAATTTCGATGATATTATCACTACTACCCCTGTAAATATAATAGGACCACTATCGGAGAATAATTATAACGATAATGATAACGATACGGAAGTGTCAAATAATAATGCGAGTTCGTTAAATCCAATCAAAGAAGACTTAATTTCTGAAGGCAGCGACGAAAAGATAATGTACAGTCAAACTCCGAATCAGCTTGAAACGATGCAAAAAGCATCTGACGAAGGACAGAACGAAGAGGACGAATCATCACTATTAAATTTACGAATTACATCGCCATTAACGACAGAACTCGATGACACACCGCATTCGATTACGGAACAATATAGAAACAACGAAGACAGCACAGTGATGCCATCGAATTTTAATGATGATTCAGTTGATCTATACTCGACATCAACAAGTAATACACAAGAACCTACCCCAATCAGCGACATTTCACCGAATATAAATGAAAAAATGCAGGATGCAGCTACAGAGGAATATAAAAATAAAGAAGACAGCATAGTATCGTCACCGAATTTGAATACTGATTCTGTTGATCTGTACTCGGCATCAACAATTAGTAATGTACCAGAATCCATTTCAAACAGGGATGTGTCATTAAATGCAGATGAAAAAATGCAAGATGCGATTACGGAACAAAATAGAAGCAACGAAGACAGCACAATGACGCCATCAATCTTTAATACCCATTCGGTTGATTCGACACCAACAATAAGTAATGTACCAGAATCATCTCCAATTAGTGACATGTTACCGAATATAGGTGAAAAAATGCAAGATGTAATTACGGAGCAATATAAAAACAATGAAAACAGCACATTGACGCCATCCAATTTCAATACTGATTCGGTTGATCAATATTCGGCACCAACAATAAGTAATGTACAAGAATCTACTCCAATTAGCGACGTGTTATCGAATATAAATGAAAAAATGCAAGATGCAGCTACAGAACAATATAAAAGTAACGAAGACAGCATAGTGCCGCCATCGAATTTGAATTCTGATTCTGTTGATCTATACTCAGCACCAACAATGAGTAATATACCAGAATCCTCTCCAATCAGCGATGTGTCGCCGAATGTAGATGAGGAAATGCAAGATGAAGCTACAGAACAATATAGAAACAACGAAGATAGTATAGTGACTCCATCGAACTTTGATACAGATTCGATTGATTCGGCATCAATAATTAATAATGTAACAGCATCTTCTCCAATCAGTGACGTGTCACCGAATATAGATGAAGAAATACAAGATGCGATTCCGAAACAATATAGGAATAACGAAGATAGCACAATGACGCCGTCGAATTTTAATACAGATTCGGTTGATCAGTACACGCCACTAATAGTAAGTAATGTAGCAGAATCTTCTCCAATCAGTGACGTGTCACCGAATATAGATGAAGAAATACAAGATGCGATTCCGAAACAATATAGGAATAACGAAGATAGCACAATGACGCCGTCGAATTTTAATACAGATTCGGTTGATCAGTACACGCCACTAATAGTAAGTAATGTAGCAGAATCTTCTCCAATCAGTGACGTGTCACCGAATATAGATGAAGAAATACAAGATGCGATTCCGAAACAATATAGGAATAACGAAGATAGCACAATGACGCCGTCGAATTTTAATACAGATTCGGTTGATCAGTACACGCCACTAATAGTAAGTAATGTAGCAGAATCTTCTCCAATCAGTGACGTGTCACCGAATATAGATGAAGAAATACAAGATGCGATTCCGAAACAATATAGGAATAACGAAGATAGCACAATGACGCCGTCGAATTTTAATACAGATTCGGTTGATCAGTACACGCCACTAATAGTAAGTAATGTAGCAGAATCTTCTCCAATCAGTGACGTGTCACCGAATATAGATGAAGAAATACAAGATGCGATTCCGAAACAATATAGGAATAACGAAGATAGCACAATGACGCCGTCGAATTTTAATACAGATTCAATTGATAAGTATCCTGCACAAACAATAAGTAATGTACCAGAATCTTCTCCAATCAGCGACGTGTTACCGAATGTAGATGAAAAAATGCAGGATGGGATTACAGAAGAATATAGAGGCAACGAAGACAGTATAATAACGCCATCGACTTTGAATACAGATACAGTTGATCAGTATCTGGCATCAACAACAGTAAGTAATACAGCAGAATCTTCTCCAATTGGCAGTACGTCATCGAAGATAGATGAAGAAATGCAAGATGCGGGTACAGAACAATCTAAAAACAATGAAGACAGCACACTAATGCCATCGAATTGGAATTCTGATTTGGTTGATCTGTATTCGGCACCAACAATAAATAATATATCAGAATCCTTTCCAATTAGTGATGTGTCACCAAATCTAGATGAAAAAATGAAAGATGCAATTACAGAAGAATATAAAAATAACGAAGACAGTATAGTGACACCATCAAATTTTAATACAGATTCGGTTGATAAGTACTCTGCACCAACAGTAACTGATGTATCAGAATCTCCGATCAGCGACGTGCCATCGAATATAGATGAAAAAATGCAAGATGCAATTACGGAAGAATATAGAAATAATGAAGACAGCATAATAACGCCACCAAATTTGAATACAGATTCGGTTGATCAGTACCCGGTATCAACAATAAATAATGGAGCTGAATCTTCTCCAATTAACAGCATGTCACCGAAAATAGATGAGGAAATGCAAGATGCAGCTACGGGACAGGACAGAAATAACGAAGACAGCACATCAAATTTCAATACCGATTCAATCACAGATAGTCCGAGGTATGATTCTGATATATTATCTTCTCCGTCGACACTTGCGATGTTGCCGCCACAAGCAGCTGTTGATCAAATTGCCACGGAAGGATTATCTGAAGCTACTCCGTCAATAGACAGTAAAACTGTAGATACTAGTTCATTTACACCAGATGGAGTCGAAAGTTTTTCTGCTCGATATTTACCCGACAATACTGAATTATATTTAACACCAACGACGGAATCCACTTTTTTAAAAGAAGTAACAGATGATATTGCAACTACAATACATTCCATACAAGAGCCATCTATTTCAGACACAGACCTGGTAATGCAAAGTAGTAAGGATAGCACGGAAACATCTCCTACTTTTGTAACTGAATAAAGTGCTCTAATTATAAACATAAATGTATCTTAAATAAATTCATAAATTATATATAATTTTTTGTTTAGACTATGTAGATATTATTATTGTTAAAAGATATATACGTGTATATAATGCAAATATGTAGATAAAATAATTTATTGTATGATTTGTAATTTGATTCCCGTTTCTGAGGTAGTCGTGAGCAATTTATATAATACATAAATCCATTTTTCTGTATATATACATCGAGGTATAAAGAAAAAATTATTTTATAAAACGAGAAAATAGTAACAAATACTCTCTTATTATTTTACTTACATTAATCGTTTGTACAATATAATTTGTTTTATGTCTTATTACTATTACATGTTCTCTTTTTCCTGCTCGTTAACGAGCGTGTAATATACTCCTTTTCGTTTAATCAATTCTGAATGTTTGCCCATCTAAAAAACATTTATTGTTTATGTATTATATATATTTATATAATAAAAACATGGCGTTAATTTTATCAATTAAAGCATACCTCCACAATGACACCACGTTGTAACACGACAATTACGTCAGCTCCCTTAATGGTACTCAATCTATGAGCAATGACAAGAACTGTTCTACCTTTTGTAACATTTTCAATCGCTTTTTGAACGACTCTCTCGCTTTCATAGTCCAATGCACTAAAAACACAGGCAAATACATAAACCACACCAAGACACATCTCATATAATCTTGCTATTTCTACCTTGTTGCTTCATCCAGAATTAAAACAGATGGTTGTTTTAATAAGGCTCTGGCGATAGCAACTCGTTGCTTTTGTCCACCAGAGAGCTGTGTGCCTCTTTCACCAACCTCGGTCGCGTAGCTGTCTGGAAATTTCGTTATAAATTCGTGCGCATTCGCTTCTTTAGCTGCCTCGATGACCTAAATTAAATTATAGGTCTGTTTTTTATTGCTGTACTTTCTGAACTAATACACACAGTGCAATAAGTTGAAGTGAAACAAATATACATTTGTTTCACTTCAACTTATTGCACTCAGAGTGCAGCATAAAAAAACAGACCTTATGTAAAATATTAAGTATATCAGTACTTATATTAATTTAAATTCGTTTTTTACCTCTTCGTCCGTTGCGTCTTGTCTCCCATACCTAATGTTTTCCATAATGCTGGTAGCAAATAAAGTAGGCTCTTGATTGATATAGCCTAAAACATTGCCTCTGAGATAACTTGAATTAAGAGATCTGATATCTTTACCATCAATAGTAATGGAGCCTTCATCAACATCATAAAATCTAGTAACATAAGTACAATTTTAGATAAATTTTTAAACTTCAAATAAAATACACGCGATTGTTATAAAACCATACCTTTCTAATAATACAGCCACTGTTGATTTCCCGTTACCACTAGTACCAACAATAGCCACAGTTTTCCCAGCGGGAATGTGTAAGTTAAAATTTTTCAAAATAACGTGATCAGGTCTAGTGGGATAGCTGAAATTTACATCTTTGAAAACTATATTACCCGCCAGAGATTTATCCGCGATTATGTCACCACCGATCATCATTGACGAAGGTGGCATATCTAAGTACTAAAAAAAAAGATATAATTATAATTTTTAATTCAGGAAAAGTTACTACAAAATTGTATAATCCAAATATATAATAAATTACCTGAAAAATCCTGGCTCCAGCACTCTGTCCTCTAACGAAGGTTCCGAAAAGCACTGATAACTGGCCTAAAGACTTTTGTATGGTTTGAGTAGCCATTAAAAATGCCATGAGATTTCCCGGAGACAATTGTCCTGTAGAGAGTAACTGCCCACCAAAATACAGCGTGGAAAGTAGAATGCCATTAAGCAGTAAATTCGATCCTGCTTGAAAGAAGCTTATACCAAAACCTAATCGTTCGTATAGATCAGACGAACGTTCAATCTCTTTGTAAAACATTTCCGCTTCTTTCTTCTCTGCGGCGAAGGCTCTCACCTGATAAAAAAAAAAGAAAGTGCAGTGTATTAATATTGTTTTGCATCTTTTTCAGTTCATTATTTTTAAAATACCGTTCGGATGTTTTGTATGGCTTCCTCGCAGACAGCTGTAGACTTTGCAACTTGATTTTGCGCTTCCATCGACAGCTTGCGCAAACTTCTTCCCAGCAGAGTACCGATAAAAATTATTGGGGGCAAACTGAATACCACAAGAGTGGTCAATTGCGGTGATATCACTATTACAGAGACGATACAACCAATAATTTGTGTGAAGCTTCTCAAACCTTGAGAAATGCAGATTTTAAATGAACTTTTAAAATCTTGAATATCACTGGTCAATCGACTTACTATTTCACCAGAACGCGTTTTGTCAAAAAACGCTATGTCTTGCATAATAATGGACTTGAACAAATCCTGACGTAAACTCACTGCAACTCTTTCACCAACGTGTGACAGAGTATAAATATATGCAAAAGTAAAAAATGCCTTGAAAGATAAAAATTAGATATTTAGAGACAAGTATATGGAATTTCATAAAGATATCGGAAAAAATATTATAATTATCTTACATACTTGTGCAATGTACATGCGTGCCAAAATAAAAGCTGGTTGAGTAAGCTGGAAAATGACTTGTTTTGCAGAATCATTTTTATTCTGACATATTTCCGTTAGTACATTTATGACACTTCCAACGCATTGCGGTATTTGTATATTTAACAATGCAACTATTAATGCACTCTAGAAATATGATTGCCAGTACATCATTTGCAATGATATAAGATTTATCAATTATTTTTGCACATCTATAAATACTTACTGATAATGCTAGTAATAAATACCAGATATGTGGATATAAATACTTGACAAATTTTGTCCATTCAAAGATCAAGTCACGATTATCCAGATTGACTGGACTTATGTCACTTATTCTTTTGGCTTCTTTACAGAGTACAATTCGATTATGTGATTTCAAAATACAAGCAACCGTTATACCAAGTCCGCTGAAACCAAATTTCTGAATGTACGAGAAAAGTTTTGACTCATTCACATTTTCTTTGGCATATCTTTGAGTAATTTTACTAAATTCATGCTTTACTGTCCCCCATAAGTTCTGGTTTCTTCCTTGCAAAAAATACTTCTGCAAGGAATACCTGAAATTAATTAAATAAAAATTGATTTAACATATCATCAAAATAACACGCTTAACATTGTCTTAGATCATTCTAATCCTAAATATAGGATTTTTATATATATTCATATTTTTATACTCATATTTTCTCTTTAGAGATTTATGTGCGGTATAATTAGATACACTTAGAGACTAAAGTAATTCATATTATCTTGAAATAATAAAGTCATTATTGTGATAAGTGACTATATAATACAGCATGTATAACATTCTTTATTTTTATGTATTATGTTTATATATTTTCTCTTTAAAGATTTATGCAATATAATTATAAGACATAATTAGAGACAAAAGTAATTCATAATTACCTTGGAATAATAGAGCCATTATTATGACAGGTGAAAAACGCAGCACGTAATACAGACATTCTTGTAATATATTAATATTATGATTAGTGATATTGAACTATATAACGTCTAATTATGCCGGCATGTATCTTTCAGCGTGTATATTTCGTTCATTAAATTCATGAAAAAACACATCACTATTAATGATTCTTATATACATATGATGACGGAATTTTTTTTTCACTCGGCTGCTGAAAAGGTTAAACTAATAATATCGCAACCAAGGGCGCCGCCATGTTTGAACGTATCCAGCGCGCGTTCCATGATCTTCTCACAGATGGCTCTTGATGTATTATCTAGCCAGTTTGTTTTCGCGCTGTTTTGTGCTACGTGGAGGCCGCGTTTGGGAAGATGCTATTAGCACCATTTGTGTCATAAATGTCATAATTCTATCTTCATCATTCATTAGACGTGAGACAAGGATATTATGACACAAATGGCGTTGATAGCGCACATCCCGAACGGAATCATACTCGTAGCTCGTAGCTCGTTTCGAAGTGCGCGTGCGCGTTTTGAAGTTCGTAACTTAATTCGCGTAGAAGTGCATAGAAGTGAGTTGAAGTAACGAATTTATCCTTGAAATTTTGTCCTTGACAGCATTCGACGAGAAATCCCGGAGAAAGCGGCTCCTCAAGGCTCGGCTGTGACAATTGCGCGGTTTGCAGAAAACGAGGACAAATCTGGTAAGCTACTTTGAATCTTGCGGTCTTACTTTGGGTCTTGCAAGATAAGATTCTGTTGCACGTGGAAAAATACGCGCTATCGAAACATGGGAGATACAGAAAAAATAAAAGGCAATCACATGCCGAATTCTCGCCGAGATTATTATATCGAATATTTAGGTACTCTTGTTTCATATATACAGCACAGACCTCTAAAGCCTGTTCTACAGTGTGTTCTTTGTTTCCAGTTTCTTACTTTTTGCTATTTTTTACATCTTGTCTTTTTGCTTCTTATTCGGTTTTTTGTTTTGTATCACCTGAGATAAGAGTTAATGAATTTCGAAACAAACAAGAAATACATAGCAAGAAATACAATTGTCGATAAAACGGTTGCAAAGGAGTTAAAAGCAAAAGGTAAAAAACAAAAAACAGGAAACAAAGAGTATATTGTAGAAAAGGCTTAAGGGACGTCCTACTCACAATCAGACAAGATGTGTGCCCAAGGCAGATTGCATCAACATTATTTTGACTTTGAGAGTTTTGAGAGAAATGAGAATTTTAAGCCTCGTTTAATTAAAGTCAAAGTAACGTTAGTGCAATCAGGGCTAAAGGATGTCTTTTGAAACATACATATCTAATGCCCGATTACAGCGTTATTTTGATTTTAACTCCGGATCTACAATAGAGTTCTAAGCCTTAAGCCATAAGAAATGGACGAATCATAGTCGATTATTCTTCTCGAATTCGACTGTAATTGGTCAATTTCTTATTTAAGGCTTAAAACATCTATTGTAGATCGGAAGTAAACGAGACTTAAAATTCTCTCTTTTTAAAATCGAG